GTCCTGCCTGAACTACAGTGGCCAATATCTTACTCAGTTCCCTGTTATGCCTCCGGTCTTTTTCTCTCTCTCTCTCTTATCTGATTCTTCCCTAAGTTTAAGGTCTCGTTCTTCTTGCATCTTTCTAATCCTATCTTCTCATTCTTCTGGAGTTTCTCTTTTGTTAAATATCTTTTCAGCTTCCTTCAGTAAATCTGCTAGAGAAAAATCCTGTAGGTTATCTAATCTTTGCAATTTAGTCCTGATATCTGGGGCGGACTGCCAAATAAAAGCCATAGAAATGTTTCCTTTCTGGTCCTCACTATCGGGATCAAAGGGAGTAAACCTCCGATAAGCCTCTTTTAATCTCTCTAAGAAGGCTGTCGGAGTTTCCTCTGACCCCTGGATAGTCTGTCTTACCTGAGCCAAATTGGTGGGCCGTCGCCCTGCTCCATGGAGACCCGCTATGAGTAACTGGCGATAGAGACATAGGTGGTTCCTACCTGCTTCAGTCGCATAGTCCCAGTTTGGCCGGGTTAAAGGAAAAGCTTCGTTAATCAAATTTGGGAGTTGGGTGGGGCGCCCGTCGTCCCCTGGCACATTTTTGCGAGCTTCCAAGAGAACCTTTTGTTTCTCCTCTGAAGTGAGGAGTATCTGTAAGAGCTGCTGGCAATCATCCCATGTTGGCTGGTGAGTTACTAGAATAGATTCAATCAAAGAGGTTAGTGCTATAGGATCCTTAGTAAAGGAAGGGTTATGGGTTTTCCAGTTATAGAGGTCAGAGGCAGAGAAAGGCCAGTACTGATATTGGCCGTTGGGGCCCCCTGTTTGTCGCAGGGGGAGGACTTTAGAGGTGTCCCCCGAGGCGGTGTGGTCTCGACGTCCCCGGAGTCGTCCCACCATGGGAGATGGATCTGGGGGAGCACTGGCGGTTGGGCCCTCCTGGTTGTTTTCCTCCTCTGAGGATTGTTGATCGGGTTCAGGGGCTTGTAAGGGTTGGGGCTGGTAAGGAGGAGGCTCGTCAGTCAGCAGGTCAATCAGAGTTGAGTCTTCTGGCGGCAGAACCTTCTTTGGTGTTGCCCCTGATTTAATTAAGGTCTCAGATTTGTTAAGAACGGGGTAAAGTTGAGAGGTTTGAGAAGGGAGAGGGGGAACTGGGATGAGGGGAGCAGAAGGTTCAAGGGGCTTGGGTGGAGAGAAAGGAACCACCCAAGGGGGTGGATTGGAGGTCAGATCTTCCCAGGTGACAATATAGGGTATCTGGTCGGGGTGTCCATGAGGACCGTGGGTAAAGATTTGGGATTTCACCTGTAAGATAAGATTAATGTTAAAGGTCCCTTCTGCTGGCCAGCCAGTGTTGAATGTTGGCCATTCTGAGGTGCAGAGTGTTTTCCATTTCTTTTTCTTGATTGTCACGGACAGGTTGTTTGCCCGATCTTGAATATCTTGCCAATGATCTAGAGTGAGGCTCAAAGGGGTGGTCAGTGAGTGCCCCATGTTAGTTTTGGAGAGAAAGTAAAGAGACAAACACACAGACACAAAGATAAGACCGAACAGGAAGAGCGCTGCGCGGCTTCGGTGGAAACCGAAAGTATCAGACGGCCTGGGAGAAGTACGTGTTTCTCCATTGCCTACAAAGACAGTGTATCCCTCGGAAACACTGGGGGCCCCGAAGAAATGGACCCCTCTGATCCCTGGGACGTCTCCCAGGGTGGCAGGGGAGAAGTCTGAGTTCGTCAACTCCTTCTCAAGCTGCCTCAAAATACTGGATGACTATGCATAGTCTTACAGACGCTGCGCAAGACACTGAACATTAGACCAACAAATCAGAGAGCTCGAGCTGGCCGGCTTACCTCCCAGTGATGTCGGGTGTCCTCCGGTTAGGGATCTGGGTTGGAACCAGGATCTTGTATCTCGGTGAAACCTCCAAAATGAAAGAACCACAGATCTCAAACCCGGAATGAACCACAGGAGACACTGGCTGCAAGAAGCAGGAGGCTGTTTTATTCGTACACAGGCGCCTGCGGGTGCACAGTGGAACCTCAGCCGGAGCTTCAGTGACTGGCACACCGGGCTCTAGGGCACAGATCTTTTATAGGGAGCAGGGGGTTAGTTTTTAGCTTAGCACAGTAACAGTTATTCTATTGGTTCTTCTGAATCCAGTCTTTAGGTCACCTGGGGGGTAAACTTGTTTTTCCACTTTATGTTCTCGGAAAAACCATAAAATTGCATCCTGTCCCTTTTAGTTCCTGTTTTTACCCTGTTTGCTCAAGTTTGGCCTTTCTGGGGTTATCTATATGGAACATCTTGTGGTAGCATTGTGCAAGACTTGCTACGTGCAGCTGGTGGGGTTTTGACATGGGGGTTGTGTAAGGGAGCATCTTGCAGCTTCAGGGCACAGGGGTTAGATTTCCTAATGTTGGGCCTGGGGCCTTGAGGTCCTTCACTCTAAATGTCAGTGTACCCAATTACGTAAAAAATTTCTTGATATTAAATCTCAGAGAGTCTAATACAACAATACTGGGTATTTTCAACACATCATTATCAAAAACAGAAAGCCAATAAAAGCAAAAATATCAATAAATATATTTCCAATGTAACGAATACTCTAAATCAAACTGACCCAGCAGACATCTACAGAATATTTTACCCCACAAAGAGGTGAATTTAACTTCTCCTCAAGAGTTCATGGAACCTTTTAAAAAATGGACTGTATTTTGGATCACAATGTAAATCATAGCAAATACAAAAAGAGTGTAATTTGATGAATCCTATCAGATCATAATGAATTGACTCTAGAAATCAACATTGAGAAAACAAAATAAACCAGGTAATTACATGGGTATTGAACAATATATTTTGAAATGAAAAATTAATCAAAGAAGAAATTGAGAGAAAAGAAATCAACAAATGTTTAAAAACAAAGAGAATATAGATCACAACATAGTAAATTTTCTGAGACAATATGAAAGCAGTACTAAGAGAAAAAATTATGACATTGAGTGCCTACATAAAAAAAAGAGATCACAAATAAAGGAGCTTATGCTCCACCTCAAGACCTTAGAAAAAACAATTTCAAAATCAGTGGAAGACAGTAAATAATGAAGGTTAAATTAATGAAATTGATTTATTTGCTAATTGATTAAGTGCTTAAATTAATGAAATTGAGAATTATATATATATATATATATATATATATATATATATATATATATATATTAAAATCAGTCCAACAGTTAATTTATTTGATAAGATAAAAAGATATATAAACCCTTAGACAAACTAGGCAAAAAAAGGTGGAGGGGGAGAGAAAAACCAAGTAAACAAAATCTTAGATGAAAAAGAAAATATTACCACAGACCCTTCTGAAATCAAGAGGAAAATTAGAAACTATTTTGAAAATTCATATCACCTTAAACTGGAAAATTTAGATGACACTGACAAATTTCGTGACACTGAAGACCTGCCCAAATTGAAGCAGGGTGATATAGGAAAGCTAAATACACGGAGACCATGTAATAAAGTTGAAATACCAATTTAAAATCTATCAAGACAAAAAAGCCCAGGAACAGATAGATTCTCAACTTTCTTATACCAATCCTTTAAAGAAGAACTAACACTAGTATTTTTCAAATTATTCCATCAATTTGAAGGAAAGGGAACATACCCAAATATAGTCTGTAAAGCCAGCATATCCCAGCTACCAAAACCAGACGGACACATCAAGGAATGAAATTCATAGATCAATATTCTTAATAAACAGAAATGCAAAAATCCTTAATAAAATATTAGCAAACTTCATTCAAAAGCACATCAACAAGATAATACACTAAAATCTGCTGTGTTTCATCCCAGGTATGTTTCAACATATGCACATCAATAAATGTAATCCACCACATAATTATAATTAAGTTAAAGAATCATATGATCATCCCAATTCATGCAGAAAAGGCCTTTGATAAACTATAGCAGCCATTCATGTTAAAAATGCTGGAGAAACTGGGGATACAAAGAACTTACTTAAACATTATAAAGACTATATATGAAAAACCTAAAGCCTACATCATAGTAAATGAAGAACAAAAATTGAAAGCATTTCCCCCAAATGAGGAATAAGATAAAGATATCCACTCCTATCATTTCTATTCAATATAGTTCCCAAACTCTAACTATACAGACAAGAGGAGGAAATTAAAGGGATACAAAGAAAAATAAAACTGAAAATCAAAGACATAATCAAACTAACTCCACTGATGAGGTGATCCTATATCTGGAAGACACAAATCATTCCACTAGACTTCCAGAGTTGATGAATGAGTTCTGCAACATATTAGGATACAAGATCAACATTCATACATACACAGCTTTCCTATACTCCTTTCACTTTTTATACAGTGATTCAGGTGAAAAAAGCAATCAGGAAAGCCATCCCTTTAATAATAACCTCAAAATAATTCCTTGGAATTAATCTGACCAATGAGGTAAAAGATTTGTACAATGAAAACTGTAGAACACAGAAGAAAGAAATTGAAGATCTGAGAAGATGGAAAGACCTCACATGTTCATTGATAGACAGTATTAATACTGTCAAATGGCCATACTACCAAAACCAATATAAAGATTAAATGCAATCCACATCTAATACCAATGGCATTCTTCATAGAGCTATAAAAACCTGTCTTAAAATTCAAATGGAAGAGTAAGGGATCCAGAATATTCAAAGCAATTCTGAGCAAGAATAGTGATTCAGGAGGCATCACAATACCTGATCTCAAAATGCAATACAGGGTTATAGTAACAAAAAGTTTATACCACCATCAAAATAAACACAAAGAACAATTAAATAGAATAGAAAACACAGAGACAAACCCACCTACTTATAGCCACGTGAGACTTTTCAAAGGTGATAAAAATATGTCAGATAAAAGATAGTCTTTTTAAAAAATGGTGCTGGAAAAAAAACTGGACATTCATAAGTAGAAAAGAGCAATTAGATCTCCATGTCTCACTCTGCACAAAAGTCAAAAGAGAATGAATCAAAAATGTAGAAATTAGACCAGCAACCTAGTAACTTCTAGAAAAAAAGGTAGGATTACCATACCATCAAATATATGTTCAGGCACTGATTTCCTCAATAAGACCCTTAAAGCTCAAAAAAATAAAACTAAGAATCAATGAGTTGAATGTCATCAAAGTAAAAAACTTCTGCAGGAAGAAAAAGTCCACAGAGGGGGTAAAAATTTTTGCCAGCTGCTCCTCTGACAGGGGATTGATTTCCAGAATATATAAAAAAAACTCAAAAATCTCAAAACAACAACAAAATAAATAACCCAATCAATAAATATGCAAAAGAATTAAATAGGCATTTCTCATAAGGAGAATCACAAATGACCAATAAAAATATGAAAACATGTTCATCATCTCTATCAATCAGGGAAATACTAATCAAAAAGAAGATTTCATCTCATTCTAGTCAGAATGGCAGTTATCAATAACACAAATGTTAATAAATTCTGGCAAAGATGTAGTCCAAAAATGTACTGATACACTGTTGGTGGGACTGCATTAATACGTACAATCACTTTGGAAATCAGTGTGAAGATTCCTGAAATTCCTCAAAAACTAGGAATGGAATCATTACCATATGATCCAGCTATCTTGCATCTTCATATGTGAAACAAGTCAGACTCAGAAAATTAAGGGTTGAATGTTTTCTTCCATATGTGGAAGCGAAAGAAAATAGGGGGAAAAGGGTGTATTGGGGGAATCAGGTATCATAAATATGTAGTGAAAATCAGTGGAGTAAAAGGTGGAGAGTGAGACTGAAGGAGGGGAAATGGGAAAGGGAAGAAAACATGTAAAAGAATTAAAAATTATGTTATATGCATATATAAATGTACTAAAGGGGGTTTCACCTTTATGTATATGTAGAAAGTACCAATAAAAATAAATGAAAGAGTGAAAGTAAGATCAGTAGACTAGAGGAAGGAGAATAGGGGAGGAGGGAAGGCAGAAAAGAGGGGGATGGTGATTAAAATCAAATTCCTTGCATGAATGATTTTGTAAAAAATGAACCTAACTATAATGTATAACTATAAAGCTCAAAAAAAAAAAAAAAGAAAAGAAAAAGAAACACACAAACACAAAGTCCATCACACAGAAGATGAAGTTGAAAGTAAAATAGTGCTTTAACAATAACTGGGAAAAGTAGTGGGGAGGGTCACTGAGTACAAAGTTACATTAAGATAAGAAGGTTACAGTTTTTTTTTTTTAATTTTAGAATAAGGTGAATATAGGGAACAGTTATGCATTATATATTATAAATTATAAGAAAGGAATTTGAATGCCCTTGCACGTATTTGGATTTATTTATTAAAATAAAAAATAAAATGTATTTTATATGAACTTAATAATTTATATAAAATTATAATCCTTAAAATTTTAAGTTATAAATATTTAAGATAATCAATGTTAATTATCCTGATTTGATCATTTGTACTATGTATACATAAATTGAAATAACAATTATTGATCATTATTACCAATTTTATGTAATTATTATATCAATTAAAAATAAAAATTATGCACTTGCAAGAATATGTATTGATAAAATAAATTAATTAAATATTACAAAGTATATATATATACCTTGTAATGTCCAACTTGATTATTTTTTCTGTACTTCTTTTGTTTACTTATTTAATTGTCTTACAATTAAGTATAATTTAGCCTTATTCTTTTTAATAACGAGCCTTTAATTATTTTCCCTTCGTCAAATATAATTGGGTAAAATTTACTAAACAACATTAGGAAAGATATTATGTTATGACACTTCTTCTTATTATTGACTTTAATAAAAAATACTTCTATGTTCAGCCTGAAGTAGGATTTTGGTTTTGCTTTAAGAAATTTTCTATTATTTAAGGATGGTATCCATGTGTTTTGATCTTCAGTGCAAACAAACACAACATAGCTTCAAATCAGGAATGGATGTTGGATTTGTTAAATGCCTTTTTGACATTAATTGACATTACCATGTTTTTTT